GGTAGTGAATCAGTGCTACTTTGTAAAAACGAATAGCTGACCTGACCATTTGTATCGATATCAGCATCAACAGCAGTCACAGTTTTAATGACTGCGCCCACTAGACTATTCTCTTTCACATAAACATTAAGTAGTTGCTCTGAGAAACGAGGCGGGTTGTCATTGACATCAGAAACATGAACATTAACTATGCTGGTACTGGAGAGAGGTGGAGTCCCTTCATCTGTCGCTACTATCGTGACATTGTATTCTGCCATAGTTTCTCTGTCGAGCGGACCATCAACTACTAAGGAATAATAATTTTTATAATTGGTGTCCAATTTAAACGGGGTCTCATTTGCAATGACAGCCTTGACTGCCCCGTTTTTCCCTCCATCTTTGTCCAGCACCGAGACAAGTGCAATAGCTGTACCTACTTGTGCGTCCTCCTTCACTGTGTTTAGTAGTGACGTCACAGTAATCTCAGGAGCGTTGTCGTTCAGGTCCAGCACTTCTACCAGCACTTTACAATGAGCGGACATTGGAGGATAGCCTTTGTCACTAGCCTGAGCATGAATCTCAAACGCAGGATTGTCTTCATAATCTATTTTACCTTTTACCAAAATTGCACCCGTTTTTGAGTCAATTTGAAATTGATTTAAAACCTGATCCTGACCTTTACTTCTCAATGAATATTCTATTTCAGCATTTATCCCATCGTCTGCGTCTGTTGCATTCAAAATTATTACTGTGCTACCCACTGCTAGGTTCTCAGATATATGAGCCTTGTATAAAGAACTACTGAAAACCGGAGCGTTGTCATTATTATCCAAAACATTAATAACAATTTGTGAGGTCCCTGACTTGGGTGGGTTTCCTCCATCGACAGCAGTCACTGTAAGTTTTACTGTTGGTTGTTTTTCTCGGTCTAACGCTTTCTGAAGCACAAGCTCGGCTGAAACACTGTCTCCTCCTTTGTGAACCTCTATAGAAAAGTAATCATTTGGACTGAGCTTGTACGTACTAATATCATTTTTCCCAACATCGAGATCCGATGCCCCAATAAATCCAAATTTCCCCCCTGGCACAGCACTTTCCGCAATGTTAAGAGACTGCACATTCT